GTCGAGAAGTAGACCTCATTTGGTGGGTGGCCGTCGTCATCGGTTGGACTGTTGCCGACAATGTAGGTGTTGTCTAGGTCGGCCATGTTTGTGTGTTTTTTTAGAGAGGATTAAAAGCAAAAATTCTTGTTGAAGAAGAATTGAATAAGATGAATTGTGGAAAAGTAAAGAACGCGGAGGTGGCGTGTGTGCAATGAAGTATGAGAAGGGTTAGACTTAGTGGGTGATAGGAGGTTACAAATCCCAAAGAATCAGTAAACACTTACCGTAAAAAACCCACCTCCTTAAATCGTGCTTAGAAACGATGGGGCATAGTTTACGTGCTAATCTCGTATATGTGAAAATAATATTGACAGAAATAACTTTAGCTATTCTGCTAATAATTATAAGAGGAGTGTAATAATGTAAATAAGACAGAAAAGTCTAGTGTAGAGTGTAATTTTCTCAAACGGGACTAAAATGGGTCTAAAGAACCCAAATGTAGTGGTGATTGGCGATTGTTCAGTGTTCACAGACAAATGCTTTTCTACTCAATTTCAGCGCCTTTTTCTCAAAAGCGTAACCATTCAAAGCAATAAAATGACATGCAATAAGCTGTAATAATCTTGTATAAAGTTTATCAGCCGAACGAAAGTTAGATTTCCGATGATGGTTTAACCTTCTCCTTCAGAAACTGTAGTATGTGTTCTCGTTTCCAGTTATCGACTCTGCATAAACACAGTAAGCAAGCAAATAATTAAGAACAAATTAAATAAAACAAGAGATTACAGCAAGGAGACTCTAAGTACATCTATTTTTTTCGTTTATTTTATTTTACTTTCAATTCTATATAAAGGCTGATTGTTAACATACCTTCGAAATATCCAGTTACGGTAAAAATGAAAACAATCTATGCAAATTACAGTACTCCACTAAGATATTCATCCATCAATACCTATCTCCAGGGGTTATTTGCAATAGCTTAACGGGTATATATGATTCCGAAGAATAATTGAGTTTCTCGCAAATAGTCCAAACCTTAGGGGCAAATTTTGTGATTATCCTTTTTCTTATAAGTGGGGTAAAGTTTGATAGACTTGGATTTCACCAGATACTAAACTGAAATGTCATTCACAGAAACCTGATTCTTTATGGGCTCACCACTATAAGATGCTAAACGAACGAGAATATAAACTAATACATTAAATTTTTCACACCTAAGGTGTTAGCCAAATTTCGTTCACTCATTAACTAAGCCCTATGATCTCGCTGCATAAACATCAGATCAAACTCTAGAATGCCAACATGAAATTAACTTTGAGATTCGAAGTTATATATCTTTTCACCCACTGTCCCCTAAAAGTTGAGATTTCGGCGAAGTAAAGAACACCTAGGTCTACAATGCATCATGAAACAATTCTATATACCTAAAGAAGATAAGTGATAGTTGCAATACAATCTTGAAGTTTGACAAATTAGAAAAGAGGATAGATTCTATATCTAAATAACAAAGATTTTAATATTCCCCTAAATGTATTATAAAAACTTTTTTCAAGGTCTGCTTCTGCATGCACTATTTATTTATTTATTTTGATTGTCTTATGATTCCTTATTAGGACAGGGCCTTTTTTTATTTTTATTTTTTTCTGACTCGTACTTCGTTTCCCATCTAGTCTGTTTTATTTAAGGTGTAGGGTTGATCTCCTGGCCATCAAAAGATCAATAGAAGTTAGCAGCAGATTATCACCTTGGGAGGAAAGCCAATGCTTGCACTTGACGCAGGGTAAAGCCTGCCGACTTTGTTTATTTTCTTCATTTATAGTTCAATTCAATTAATTTTATTTTCAGATGCTCTTTGTAAACCCTCAAATCTGCCAGATTAATAACGATATACCCACTTATCGCGGTGCAATTTTTGCAAACAAATATCAAGGGGGTAATTTCATAAAATAGGTAACATTTTTTGTAATTAGATTGATTCTTAAATTTATTTTATCAGTAATTAAAACCAAAAATAATTTTTTCTCAATATTTTGGGATAAACACCTTGAGCAACACAACAGTAAGCTCACCTGATAGTTTCCTTGTGTTGTCCGTCATCATCCAGCATGATCAACTTTGGTGGGGAATTATAGGCATATTGGACTCTAACTGTAGGGAATTTATCCTTCTCTTCCTCAATAAAGCCGACCAACTCGGGATAGAAAACCAGTTTCCTCATGCAAACCTCTAAAATTGCCCCAGAGTAAATGACCTGCAAGCCCGATTGAAGCAACAATGAGTACTGATTGATTCTTAATATATTAACATCAAACAATCAAATAATTCAAAAAGATATATTCAAGATATTGGAGCATTCAGAAACATATAGATATATTTTCGTCTCAATAATGTATTAATTGTCATGTCACAAATAAGTAGAGCATATTAGAGCACAAGTCATGCCTAAGCAAAAAAGGCACATAAAATACAAAACAGGAGGACCTAAAATAAAAAATGGAGCTACACGTCTCTAAGGTGATCAACAAGACCTTGCAATATTATGAACAAATGTCACTAGGAAATACCTTGCTTGTAGCATCATCAGAATCCTCCGCACAACATTTTAAGCAGTCGGATACCAGCTCTGCATTTGATGGGATAAAGGCATGGTGAAAACGTAGATGAAAAAAAATTTGAACTACCTACGAAACCGAGTTTGTTTGGAGAAGAGAAAATTGTTAAAAAGATGCAGTTCTTTGTACCATGGTTATTGCTTTTAAACTCCCAGTTATCAGTGAGATTACATCTGTAGATTAAGAAAATACTATTGACTCAGGCACAAACGAAAGATTCTTGTTAGAACCTCTGGATGCATCTGATCACAACTTAGCCAAAGTTACAAGTTTTACTCAGCTCTCTTGTTTCCATATTCAGCGTCACCATCTATATCAGATACTATCGCGTGGAGAATCCTTAATAGTTATAAGTAATTTCTATGAGCAATTTTGTTTTCTTTTGTGTGTGTGTGTGCCATATTCTAACAGCATTTTTTTTTTTCTCTGTGGCATCTCTTAAAAAAGATGAACAGTAAGTTTTTATGTATGCCTGATGAATAAGATGAAATGGCAGACTTGAAAATAAAAAAGAAAAAGAAAAAAACCAAAATGTTGAGTTTTCCTTCTAGTTTCCTCTTTCAATCATTCTTGCCGTCCTATATTAATAAAATTATTCCCCGTTACACAGAGGTAAAGGCATGTGCCAACCTTAAACATCAAGAAATCAAGTGAAAACGATACACTAACATCGAATGATTTCCCGAAGGTTCAATTGGCAGAGCTAACAAATACAATGTCTCACTGCCACTGATCTTTCTTCTCTATGGCTTCAAATCCAAACGCATGGCCGAACGCCATAAATAAACTCACCCAAACATAGACTGAACCATATTGGCTCTTTGGTCTGTTTAATCCAACAAGTACATTAGTCTAAAACCATCATTAAACCTAATAAGGTTTTCCTAAAATCATACAACCAAGACATCATACAAATTGATTTGAACAATTTCTTGTTTTCCACGCCACAGTTCTATATCAGTACATTTAACGAAAAACATATCATTCAAATAAACAAATCAAAAGAATTGTCAAGATCTGAGCCCAACATCCCAGTCACAAATTTCAGCTCAACAATGAAAAATAAGAAAACCTCAATGCACTAAACCTAAAAGCACGAAAAGGGCGACACGAACTAGTTTTAACTGATGACTCTAAAACAAAACAGAACTATATAATCCACTAATTAGCAAGGAAATATCCCAAAATTTTCAATTTCATCATTACTTGAATAACTCTGCATCTCATGATGAACTTGCAAGCTGCATTACTAAGCAGATAAAATTTAGCACATGCCCTCGATTTCTATCAAATCAAGAAAATCATCCCAACTGAACGCTTATTGGAACCCCAGAGCATAGAGAAAGTCAATGCAAGTGAAACCCAAAACTAAACAAGAACAACATTGATTTTTTTAACGAAGACAAACAAATTGATCTATGAATCGTACAATGAAGTACAATAAGTGCAGAAACTAACCTTGATCTTTGATGTACTCGGCGAAGGTGTGGCAATCGGAGCAAAGTGCGAGGCCAGTGAAACCTAGATTCTCGCATTCTCTGGCGCTGAGCTTCTGTTCTGCTTCGCAAGAAGAAATAAGCAATAACAAGGGAATTAATGGCAGAACCAAGTGGAAACAAGACATTTTCAGTGATCTCAATCGATGATATAAGAGATGGGGGATGAGTCTTGACTACGGTTATGTGAGGGAGCACACAAATCACAATGTAATGGAACAAAAGAGGAAAGTTGAATTGATCATATGGGCAAAAAGGTGAATATTGATAGCAAAGTATACATATATAATGGTTTTTGGTAGGAAAAATTCACCCCACTAAAAATATACATGAAGTTTTTCACATTTTTTCCTACAATTTAATATTTTTCTATACTACTCTAAATGGATGATGATGAGAACCTAAATACTACAAAAAATAACATTTTTTTTTTTCCTACAATTGAAAATATTTTTAATGACACATTAGAACCTAAAATAAAGATTGTTAACTTTTAAAAAGGGGTAAATGACACTATTGTTGGGGTTTTATGAGGAAGGTCGTATTGTTTAAGTTACAAATCTAGTCTATAAAATGGGGTACGTGGGGAACCACTATTGATCATCTTTTAGAAAAAAATAAAAAAATAAAAAATTCTAGTCTACAAAAATAAGCCTAAAGTGCAGCAGATTAGAGAAAGACGGAATACTTACGGCTTAAAATCTCAGACTCTGTACAAACTTACACGACCTACTGCGTCGGGCGAACGGTTCTGGTAAGTAATTCTCGCCTCGTCCTCTTCGGTTGGTGGTGTGTCTAATCATAAAAGCTCGGCGAGAGTGCTCGCGTCGGACGGTCGTGCGCGGCTTCTGGACGTCGATGGTGCGTCGTCGAGGGCCTGTTGCGCTGGTGGTCGTGCGACATCTCCCCATTGGGTTGCGTGCGTGTGTCGGTCCGTTGTGGTTGGCGTGGGTTGTCGCTTAGCTGCGGTCGCAACGTGCGATTGTGTGGAACCGAAATGGTCAAGGCTGAAATGGACATAATGAGAGAACATGAAAGTGTTATAGTTGTTGTTGTATGAGCAAGGTTCTGAAAAACCGGACAGGCCATCGAACTGGTCAAACTATTGGTTCAATGGTTCACTGGTTCAATCAATGGTTGAACCTGTATGAGTACTACTGTCTTGTTACACCCAAACGGTCGATAAGTTAAAGGCATCGTGCTACTAACTGGTTAGTGTATCTCATATTATTTTACTAAGGAAGACTCAAAGTCACAAGTTATCTATCCTGATGCAATGATATTCATCGGAACTCATAAATATTACATTCATGTAATGATGTCATTCATGTGGGAATGTAAGAAAATTTGATTTTATACTAATTTTATAGTTATATATTTTGTGAGTGAAAGACTTAGAATAAAATCTCAACCACCATTTTAGGATGAATGAGAAATTAATTCTATAGTTGAAATGTAAGAAAAATTGAGTTTATGTCAAATTCGAGTTTAAGTAACTCAAAAGATTGTCAGATTCGCATTTATTCTGTGTTTGGAGAATGTTTGGTCAAGCCAAACTAGTCATAATCATGTAGTATTCATGCTAGAATTCCAAAAGGGTTCGTTGGACATGAGTAGGATAAATGGAACACAATTCTAAATCCGAACAAGCACGTACGGGCTCCCGGCGCACTATAGGCCATCCCGTAGACGCGAAGGCCGTCGCGGGCATGATGCCAGGATTAGCCCACCAGTTGGTCGCAACGGATCATCGCAGGTGTGAAAAGCACACAACCCAGACGCACATGTTGATGCCAAAAAAGGTTCCTAATTAGTTTAGGCGACCGGACACATCCCAAAAGGTGTCTTTTGATGCCATAAACTCCCTGGAAATGTCCAAGAATATTTAAGAAATATCCATATAATTTGAAATGCATATAACAATAGAGAACTTAACATAAAAATAAGAAATTGAGATAGAACATAAGATAGTTCATGTTCATTATTTTTTCATCATTTCTTGATAGTTTTAAACACAATAAACTTGTCCAAATCTTGTGAATTTGAAGCGTCACTATACACAAGAAAAAGTCACTGTGTCTTAGAGACATTTGTTGAAATCATGGGCATTAATTGGTGGCAATTTCTTCTACAAAGAGTGTGTTTCACGTGCCTCGACTTTGATTAATTATTTAAATTTTTTGTTCGAGTTTGTGGTTTGATCGAGCCGTTTGTTTTCGCTCTCCATTCATGCTATTCATTTTCTCCGAAAGATTGGTATGCACATGTGATACCTAAATCATGTTATGAGACAAACAAGGAAACTTAAAGGACTTGATTTTTGAAATCATATCAACAAGTGTACCTTTTTTTCTGTCACCCAGTTCATAAGAACTCCAAAATTAAGCGTGTTTAACTTGGGGTAGTTATGATATGGGTGACCTCCTGAGAAGTTTCTGAGAGAGCACGGGATTGCTCAAAGTGCATTAGAAAGGCAAGTGTTGGTACAATGGTGGTTGCTATTAGGCCTAGAGTAGATCCTGGATGTTACAGATGGTATCAAAGTCGTTCGGCTGTTGAAAATTGGCAGCTCTGTGCTATGTGGAGCAAAGTGCTACGTGAGAGAGCTGGAGCCACCTCTTGAGCCCATAAGAGCCACCTCTAACGTCCCGACGCCTGACGATGGTTCGTGAGAATGCACGATGAATACGCCACAAATTTGGAGGAGAAGGGTAGATTCCGAGACCCCAAGTCATGTTATGAGGCAAACTACGAAAGCTTAAAGAACTTGATTTTCAGAAGTTGTATTAACGACGATGGTTCATGAGAATGCACGATGAATACGTCACAAATTTGGGGGAGAATTGTATATTCCGAGACCCCAAGTCATGTTATGAGGCAAACTTTTCAGAAGTTGTATCAACATGTATATCTTCTTTTTTGGCACCCAATTCATAAGAACGCATAGTTTAGCATGCTTGACTTAGGGTAGTTATGAGATGAGTGACCACATGAAAAGTTTATCAAGAAGCACGTGAATACTCAAAACAGTTTAGCAAGGGGTAGTTATGAGATAAGTAACCACCTGAAAAGTTTATCAAGAAGCGGTCGAAACAGTTTAACATGCTTGGCTTGGGGTAGTTATGAGATGAGACTATCTGTAAAGTTTATCAAGAAGCGCGTGAATGCTCAAAACGCAGTGGAAATACTATAATTGGTATAAGTTTCATGATGAAAATTTTAAAGTCCGATAAAATTTCATGAAAATCCTAATATGTCCACAGTCATTGAAGTTCAAAAAAGTCCAATAAAGTAATTCACCTTGAAAAAACTTTACAAAATTTGTAATAGTTTCAATTGAATATATAAATTAATTGGACCTTATATTCCCCTAAAATTAATACGACATGGTATGTGGAAGGGGGAATATTGTCTAGTTTAAAGCTTACAAAATTATTGGTATTTTAAGATGGTAGAGATACATATATGTTATAACTTTAAAAAATATCATAAAACAGCTATTTAACCAAATTGATAAAATATTCTATTTCAGAGTCATAATGTAAATTTTAACCACCCAAGTTAAACTGCCTAACGGAAAGTTTTGTGTTATATGTAGGCAATAACTTAATTACAAAAAGGGTTAATTGCCAAAAAAATGACGACCTTTTGTTGAATTGCAAATTAATCTCAACTTTTTAAATTTTGCAAATAAATCTCAAACTTTATTAATTATTGCAATTTTGTCTCAAAATTAAATTCCGGCCATCCGCCGCCACCGGCCGCCGCCTGTCTCCGACCAACCTCGCCGGAATTGAAAATTTTTTACGTCGTCGTG